TAATGATATACTGAATCACCGACGTGATTTCAACGTCTGCTTGAGCATCAATATCTAGCATTTTATATAGGTATTCGTGGAAAGTCTCATCACTGCACTTTTTTCATCGCGAAAGTTCTTTGTGGACATCGAAGCTACTAGCTGTTTCACTAAATTCTGATAATAAAGCCTTTCGAAATTCCTTCCACGAGCGGTCACAACGTTCGTAATTTACAAAGAGTTTTGCACTTCCGCGTAATAACCGTTTTGCATAAATCGTCTTTTGGATATCGGTCCATTCACATAACATGGCGAAATCTTCAAATTCACGTAACCAAACGCGAACGTTTTTGCTACCATCACCCGAAAAAGATTGCATCGACTCTTCGACATCTCGAAAATTGGGTACGTAGTCTCTTACTTTACACTGTTTGTTTTCCAAACTTCTGTTTTCACCTTGTTCATGTTCACTACTTCGATAACTGGCAACGTCGTTTTCAATTATTACGTCACGTTGATTTTCTTCATCGTTGTTTTCTTCTCTAGCATCTTCTAATAGCAAAGCTGCTTCTAATCTAGCAACAAGCTCGTCTTTCTTCCCCGTCGTCTTCAATTTTCGTCTTTTCAGCTCGTCTTTTAATTCATTTACTTTCATTACTGTTACCGCGCTCGCCGAAACAGCACCAGCGTCAACGTTTTCAGTATCACTCATTTTGTCTTCCAAATCTCGGATGAGTCCCCAAATTTGTAGGTATTTTTTGTAAAAACAAATACAGATGGTAATATAAAAGGTTTTATGGAAGAATTAAAACAAAACGAAATGATATTAATGAAAACGATCAAACAAACGGCAAACAAAAGTAAAAACGTCTTGCTTCGCGACCGATCACACCCCGACTCTGCTCTTGAACTCGCCAAACCCTTACACGTGATAATATAGATCGGGTAAAAACCTCGCGGCATTCACGTACTCACTTCGCGGTACCAACACATATACACACGCATAGTTCACCGATTCTACACTATTTACTTGTATATTGTGCTAATTGTATTTATTACTGCATTTATACTTTGTTATTAAATTTGTTAATTTTATTTTTGCTATTTTTTTCAATTTCCATTTACAACAAAAAAAAATAAAATTTGGTGTAATTTTGAAATGCGCGCCTTAGGTTACGCTTCATAGTTT